CAACGGGGTTATGGCCAAGAGCTGAGCTTCCGGGCCTCTGCTCGAGGGTCTTCTGGGGTCGGGGAATCAGGGAATCGCTGGCCTGTCGCCTATGAGTGCTGGGGACCGGTGCAAGGGTCTGCGGGCTAGAGCCACGTAACCTGGAACCTTCAGCTGTGGAGGGGGTATAAGCACCCTCGTGAACGCTGTTTTGGGGACCATCCTGCTTCGCGAACACTGAGGGGGCTTGAGAAGGGCGGGATCTTGGCGCCCCGCCCCCATGAGCTCATCGTAGCCACCGCCCCTAGATGGGCGGCCTCGAAGTGGTGGGGGCACACTGGGTACTTGCCTTGGAGACGTCCACCCCACTATTACTCCACCCTTGCTTACCCTCCAGCTTGGTATTTGCCACCCTGGGAGGCTCGAGCTCCGGGCCTAGAGAAGGACAGGGTGGCCCGCGTGCTTCTGCGCAGCATGCCCCAGTTCCTGCCCACCCCCCAGCTGCCCCTCCTCCTAGTCTGTCGTCTCCCGCACAGATTACAGCCCTGGCCTGGCCCTAAGGTTCTGTGGAGGCTTTTGGGAGGAAGTGGGTGTGCAGTTCATAGTGGGGGGGGGGGCGGGGGGGGGGGGGGGGGGGGATCTTGAGATCTTTTCAGCTAGATAGGGTCTGAGCTGGGCTCTCCACTTTGAAAAGAGGTGCACACCAATTTGGTCATCTTGGAATGGAAACTTGGGTATAGAGAGGGTCTCCAGGGGTCCCTTGGTCCTGACTGTCTTCACCGCTGGGGAGTGACCATTGGTGGTGTGTTCTTGTTTCCATTTCCTGACTAGTTTGAGAATGAGGAGTGGTAGAATCTAACGGACCTGCCTGCAGGGACTTGAGTGGGCAGTGCTGGCCACTCCTCTAGACAGTGTTGCCACCCTCCCCCCTGCAGTGCACAGACTGCTGTTCCCTCCATCCTCCTCTTTCCCATGAAGAAATGAGGTTATGAGGAACAGTCTGTCTCTAAAGTTGAAGCAGGGAGGGCAAACTTGTAAGATAGACCCTAGAGTGAGTGTAGGGGACACCTGTTTTCTATCTTGGACTGCTGAAGATCCATGGGTGGGTCAGGGTGGGGTAGGGGGGCAGAAGATGTTGGAGATGAGCGGAGACTGACTGAACTCAGCTGGGACTTTGCTGTGTGGTCTGCTGAGGAGACCCTGGTTGTCAGTCACAATGACCCCAGGGAACAGCACAGGTGATGGGGTTAAGCTTGCTCTGTCCGGGCATGTCCTGCGGTCTTGGCTGGGTAGCTTGTTTGTCTTCTCTGAGCCATGCAAGGAGTTAAATGCACACTCTGCTGGCCCTTGAGCCCCAGATGTGGGCTGTTAGGAACCTACAGGGATTTCTTTTTTGGCCCACCTACCTGATCAAGCTGGTAGCCCTTTAGGCTCCCTGGAGAGCTGGGGCTGGGTGAGGCTGATTGTTTCCCAGGCAGCTGGGGTAGAGTCCCAACACATCCCTGGGGATATTCTCTATTGAGGCTCCAGGAAACAGTTCTGAAGCCTCTCCCTGCTCCCAGGGGCATGCTTACTGACAGTGAAAACCATATCCTTCCATGGACTTCTCCCCACCCATGTTGGTCCCCACAGTGGGCAGGGATATGGAGCAGAGCCAGGCCACAACTGGTGAACACCACACTGGCGGAGGGGCTTCCTCTGTACCCTGTATGGCAAGGCTTGTCCTATGGCTGATAGTTTCCTGATGCCATGAAGTTGAGCATTTGGGAAGCCCCACCCCATTGCTCTGGTCCTCAGCCTCTACTTCCTCCCTCTAAAGTGGGAGTTCTTGGGGTCTCTGTCTCCTGGGATTGAGGGCAGACTAGCTAATGCAATCCAGAGCAGAGCAAGGGGCTTGGCATAGAGAAGGCTCAGGAAATGGATGCTGGGCACAGTGTCCAACAGGGAGTTGGGCCAAGGAGAGCTGAGTAATGGTGTAAGAAGTGCCTGGGGAGGGGGCTGAGAGGTCCTGTGGGCCCATGATGGGTATGGAAGCTAAGAGCTCTGGAAATGAGATTTGGTTGACAGTAAATGTCTTGATGGGCACTTTTTAAAATTTCCAGTTTAGAGATTAAAGTGGTTTTTCTGTGGGAGGGGACATCCCAGGCACCCTAGCCTATATACTCATGCTCTCATGCCCAGAAGTCCTTGGACTGAGACTTACACTTGACCTGTCTTGTTCAGAGCCTACTTTGGGATCAACAGAGTTTTGGACTCCCAAGATACATGGGACAAGACACAAACATGAAAGATGAGCAGTGAGCAGATTCAGCCAAGACCTTGTAAGATGCTCTTAGAAGCAGGGTGGATACCTATCTTCTGAGACAGGTCTGGGGTAGAAAGGCTCATCTCCCGACTCCTGCTGGGAGCAGGGCAGGAGAGCAGGGAATGGTGTCCCTGTTTATCACCCTGCCAGCTGTGCCCTTCAGTGGGCCTGTAGGAGCTTCATATGATAATGTCTCCATAGGTGTTGTCAGGTAAGGGGAGGAGGCTGCCATACGTCTTCACTGGAATGTGTTCCTTGCCCAAAACTGGCTGCTCCTCCAACCTAAGGCTGTTGATGGCCCCCTTCCAGTGGCCCAGGCGGCCAGACCCACCACAAAAGGCTGATTACAGCCTCCTAACTGGCATTTAATTCTCCAGACTGCACATGACTGTCTGTCACATAGCATTCTGCTGTCTTTCTTCCGGCAGAGGGGCTGCAATCCCTGTGGGCTCAGGGTGGAATGAAGACTTCCTGTGGCTAGTTTCACCAGTGGGAG